GCTCCCCGTGTTGTCTTCCCTTTCATGCAATAAAGAATTGTCATTAGGTTTGCGTATGGCATGTGCCATTACCCCACCGTAAAACTAAAATTAGCAAAATGTCAGGAATGGAAAGATTGATTCACCAAGATGCAATTATCATTTAAAAGTGCTTGATTGAGGTACTGATGTTCAGTGATTTATTCTGCATACCATATACATAATTAAAGTAGTGTAGTGGAGTAATTTATCAATCTAGTTGAGACTGGAGGGGTGAGGAGGGAGCTGCAGTATGTTTGTTTTATTAAAATGCTGCGAGGTCTAGTCCCGCCCCGCTTTTGCAAGAGTGAAACTGATGATTTCCCCAGCTCGCGAGGAGAGGCAACGGTTTGGGCTCGTAGGGATAGAGAAACGGAAAGGAAAAGGCAGGGCAGGCAAAGGCAAGAATAAAATGAAATGGGCAGGGGGGTGCGCACTGGCGCGTACGTGCAGCTTAGAACCCCAGCCCAGTGTGCTCGGTGTTGCTTGCCACCCCCGCGTCCCCTCCCAGTATCCTTACATCCCCCCCACCCCCACCCCGCTCTTTTACGCGACGTTTCTAAGGCTGTGTGCTGCTCTCCTTTTCCCATTCGTCTTCTGTTACTTCCTTCCTGCACGCAGTTTTCTGGACGAGTCTGGCTACTTTTAATCCCACCGGCCACAGAGAGCCACTTTCTCCTCCTCCTCCTCCTCCTCCTTCGCTTCCTCCACCTTCCTCCTCCTCTTTCTCCTCCTCCTCTTCCACGATCCCGTGCGCGCCTCCCCCTCGCCCCCGCCCCCCCTCGCGCGCACACACGCACTCTTCGTCTCCAGCTCTCTGCTCGCTCGGCTCGCAGTCACAGACACTTGAGCACACGCGTACACCCAGACATCTTCGGGCTGCTATTGGATTGACTTTGAAGGTTCTGTGTGGGTCGCCGTGCCTGCTGCTTTGAATCAGGTGAAGAAGCACTTCAAGGCTGGATGAAGTAAAGATTACTGTTATTTTTCTCTCTCTCTTCTTCTTCTTTTAAGAAAGGAAAATATTCCAAGGACTAATCTGGTCGAGTCTTCCTTCATGTAAGTACCTCTGACATTTCTCAAAAAGAATAGAAATAGCCTGGGCATTGTCTCTGTAATCTGTTCCAGTCTCTTCCAGGCAGTGTGTCTATCCCAACTGCTTTTTGGAAGGCTTAAGTTGAGGCTTGTTGTGCGTTCTTTTCTTTAGATTCCATGATTTCCTTGTGTGTGGCAGAAAGTAACTTTTTAGGCAGTAGTATCTGCTTGCCATCCGTTACTGAAATCACATATGACTCGTTCCTGTCACATCAGTTTGTTTAAAGTTTCATGAAGTTAGTTCACGTCATTAGCAGGCTTGATAGAGTGGAGAACGTGGAGCCTGATGTATTTGAGAATTTCCCAGACTGTTCTGTGACCTTGAAGTAGATGTCTTAAAATTTAGCAGTTAGTTCAGTGGAAAGATAGATGTTCCTGTGAGTCGCCCCCAAGATTGGTTTGCCCTGGGTTTGTATTCTGAGCCACTAATTCTTGGGATGACTTTAAGTCACAGCAGGGCTTCTGCCTTGGGCCACCTTTGTGCATCCTCTTCCCTCACCAAAGTGCTTGCTTGAGAGAGCTTAATTGGTGGAGACCAGAGGCAGTGCCCTGGCCATGGTAGTCTATGCATGGATTTCAGCATATGCACTGTTGTCTAAATATTAAGCTATTTAAAAACAAACAAGACTAGGTCCCTTAGCCCGCCTTCTGTTTGGACTTCAGATGAAAGTTACCAAACTAAGTGACTAAGTTAGCCGTAAAGGAAGTCTACGGAGACCGGGCACATTGTTTATTGTATTACTATGTATTATGCAAGTGCTCGAGTCCAATGCTAATGGTACTTCCTTCCCAGAGCAAGGCCACTAATTCTTGAGGGAAATTTTATATCTGAATCATTTTGTGCTATTGCAGATGCTATGGTTATTCTTTGTGAAAAGCCTTTTCCTCACATTTTTGAAATGGATGTCTTTTCTAGAAAAGACTTTCTATGTAAATGCTAACACTGGAAGAAGAATCAGGTTCTCTGCCGGCTCCTTAATGGGTCCTCAATGGAGAATAGCTTTGACATAAAGTGCATTTTACTATTGTGAACCTGCTAGTAACTCTAACAGTAACTGTCGTATGAAACACTTAGTGACTGCTTATGTTTTCTAAGTGCTGTAAAGAAAACTCCAGTTGTCTTTCCATGCCTGTCCAGAAGAGTGACCAGTCTCCTTTTCACTGGCACCTTGCAATGGAACTGTGGTTGCACAGTAAAGATGTTTATGTGGGGGCATAATAATCCCCCTCCCTAGAGATTTGCTTTGATATGAAATGTGACCACCTGTGAGCCCAGCTTAACCTTGTAGGCATACCAATTTTAGCTTTCAGTGGTTTAGCAATTATCAATTTACAACTAAAATATCTCATTGAATTTTTTAAATAATGGCAGTATAGGCTAGTCTTAAAAACAGTTCAGTATGTATCAGTATGGCACAAGTAGAGTTTTGTGCAGCTATTGATTCAATTATAGAAAATTTAGGCAATAAACCAAATTATTATCATCTACTATAAGCATGAAATAAATTATTAAGTTTAGAAGTAGTCCTAAAGCAAGTGCATGATAGATAAAATGAGATGTCCTTATGTCTTATCCAAAGAGGGAAAAATTCCTTAAGTCAATGAGTTTTTGTACTATTTGAAGAATAATATATTTAATCATCAGCCAGATTCCAGTCTTGATTCTAAAAGTTTTCATCAAAACATACTTTACTCATAATTTTTGTTTAAAATTTGGTACCCCAGTCAAGTTAAAGGGCCAATACTTGGCAGTTATCTTTACTTCTGGTTGTGCTAAACTTTATTTTTAAAAACTATTTCTATTAATATGGTTTACACAGCTTTGAAATGTGTTGTGTAGTTCTCATACTCCTTATTAAAAGCAGTATTTCACTTCATTCATTAATTGTGCTATTTACACCTGGGTTGATGTGCATGTGAGTGTATCAGAGGATAACATTAAGGTATGCCATTTACTTCATATTAATGTTTTTTTTTTTACATTTGTTGAAGAAGCAAATGGTCATATCAAAGTAAGAAGCAACTTTCCTTCGTTTCAAAGCTAATCATATTTTTAAAGTATGTAGGCATGGACATTAACTTTCCCGGGCAGAGATAAGGAAACTTCAGTCACAAAGACTTGCTGTAATGTGCCTCATTTTTTTTTCTTTATAAACAGGTTTATTTTGCAAAATTTGGGGGAATTTATTCATTCCAATAAGAAAGTAACTAACAATTCCTGAAAATTGAATCCTGAAAAAAACAGTATACTCTATAGCTTTCAAATATCTTTTAATTTTCCCTTGGCCCTCACCTTACTTAATGAATAAACTGAACGGCATGCAATTATGTCTTTCTAATAAATTATTCATTGTATTTAAATTTCTTTAGTAGAGAAATATACTAAATAACTCTTTGGTAAATTTAAGCATTATCTTTTAAAACTTTCTTTTGTTTATTGTTGTATATTTCATGGTTTTATTTCCAACTCTTTGCAATATATTTTAGCCTATGAAATCTCAGAAAGTGACAAAAATGGGGAAATGTCTTTCAAGTAATAATTATACTACATAACAAAAAGTAGTTATTGAATAGAGAACCAAGGTTTTCAGGGCATGGTTGAAAGCAACGTGGAGAAATTTAATGTGCAGTTAAGGCTTGCAAAGTGCACTGCAAAATGATTACTAATTAATTTTTAACTTTTTAAAATAGCATCTTCTAAGAAATTGTCTCCCAAATGAATGTGTAAGCTTAGAAAAGCATGTGTATTTGTTTTACACTTACATAGTGATGGTTTGGACCAAATGAAAGGCTTTTGCCTCTAATGCTTAGGGAGTATGCCACATGGGAAGAAGCGCTGACTATGCTCCCCTCCTCAGCACTATACTTTAATCCATCCCATGAACTCATGGATGTTCCTGCATTCAGTAAAGCTTGACTCTTCACTGAGATCTGTTACCTTTAAGATATCAAATCAGATTACAGAGACAAGTCACAAAACTGAAGCAACAACAGTGTACACCTTACAAAAGGCAGATTACACAGTTCACGTGTTAGTCTGATAGGGCAAAGATAAAAGCCGATTGCTGAGGAACTGCAAGACACTCTGATTCCAAATGATTGCTAGATAAGTATGCCACAACCCTGTTGCTTCGTCATTATAAAGAGCAACTCAAATAGGGGAAAACTCAGTCTTCAAATAATAGGCTTTCAATACTGCAGCAAAAGAAAGTGTGTGCCTTTTCGTGCTTTTCCGTTGCTTAAATTTTAGGTTCCATCAGTTCTCTATGAACAGGCATCAAGTTGTCTTGTTTGTATGAAGTGGTTACCATACAGCTTAAATGCATTAGGCTATTTCAGAAGTGTTGTGTAGAATGCAAAGCAGAATAGGCTAGAAATAAAACATCCTCATAGTATTGAATAATTGATTAGAAGAAAATGTATTATAATTGTTAATATCCAATATGTTGTTCTGTTACCAAGTATATTCTTCACCAAAATGAGAAGTTACATAATTATGAACCAATACATCACAAATGCATCTTGATAGGTGAATATTGGTGAAATAATATAAATGTATATATGTCTATTTTGTGAATGTTATATAAAAATCATTCTTTATGACAAAATAGAATGATTTGAGATTTTTGTTATCGCATAGTCTTGTTTTACCTGTAGCATTTTTAAAGCTCAAACTTCACACACATCCAACACTTGAGTAATTTCTTCTTTCTTCTAAAATTGAAGTCCTTTTTTACCCTACTGATGCCTCCTAGTGTCTCACACAATAAAACACTAATGAGTCATCCATAAGTGTAAACATTGCATTTTCATTGCCTACATCTTCTGTGATACATAAAATTAATATTTATGTGTTTAATTTTCTGTGCATTACTATAATAAGATAGGATACTGTCGTGAATGAGATGTTTCTTCTGTGTGTTTGTGACACATGTAGGTTTACTTCGACTTTAACAACATTCTGCTAAGTGTAATAAGTTTATACCTTCAGTTACACTTCATGTAATCTTTCCTTGTATTCACTAATATTGCACATGAAAAAATAGTAAATCTTCCAGTTTGGAGACCTGGAAATTATATGGAATGGCTGATAAAAAGATTGTAAAAGAATACAACATTTTGTTTAAGCAAAAACTCCCTCAAGAGATACCAACTTTTGTTAACTCATGTATTCACTGCATGCAAATTTCTCTGTGAATGCTGCATTTGAAAGGTTAAAAAATAAAGAGTAAAGATAATTGCACAAGTTTCCTCAAATAAGGAGTGTTGTCTCTCAAAATAACAAAAGAAAAACTTGACTAGGGAGTAGATACTCTGTGTAATGGAAGGGAGGCTTACTAGAACATAATTTCGAAAGACTCACAGGGTACTTTCATGAGATAGACATTAGTGGACATCAGCTTCAATGCAAGTTTTCTGTCCTTGCAGTTATAGCAAAGACTGGTGATATTCTTGCACATCTGTGACTCCTGGCAGCTCTGATTCTACTTAAGAAAATTGGCATTTGAATATGTGAGTTTTTTCTTTAATACAGTTATGAAAGGGCCATTCCCCTAATAGTTCTACATTCAAGTTCCGAAGCTTTTCACATCTATGGGCCTCCTCCTGAGTTGTGACAGTGCTTGTGTATACCATATTCATGACTTTCATCAATACAGTGTTCTAAGGATCCGAGTGCAAATGCTAGATCTGAGCTTAGTTAATTCTTGTTTCACACACACATACACACACACACACACACACACACACACACACACAGAGAGAGAGAGAGAGAGAGAGAGAGAGAGGAGTTAGTTCTGCTTAAAAATTACAGAGAATATTAGCAACTTTTGCCTATTGATTATTTTGTTCTAAGTTAGTCAGTGATACAATGTTATTACAATTCTATGCTTGTTGGACAAATTTCAAAGAATGTAAGGGGGTGTGTTCTTTTCATTTAGGGATGCAAACATCTAGGAATGGGT